AAAATCCACGTCTACAGTCCTTTAAAAATTCTTTAAAAAATCCACGTCTACAGTCCTTTAAAAATTCTTTAAAAAATCCACGTCTACAGTCCTTTAAAAATTCTTTAAAAAATCCACGTCTACAGTCGTTTAAAAATTCTTTAAAAAATCCACGTCTACAGTCCTTTAAAAATTCTTTAAAAAATCCACGTCTACAGTCCTTTAAAAATTCTTTAAAAAATCCACGTCTACAGTCCTTTAAAAATTCTTTAAAAAATCCACGTCTACAGTCCTTTAAAAATTCTTTAAAAAATCCACGTCTACAGTCCTTTAAAAATTCTTTAAAAAATCCACGTCTACAGTCCTTTAAAAATTCTTTAAAAAATCCACGTCTACAGTCCTTTAAAAATTCTTTAAAAAATCCACGTCTACAGTCCTTTAAAAATTCTTTAAAAAATCCACGTCTACAGTCCTTTAAAAATTCTTTAAAAAATCCACGTCTACAGTCCTTTAAAAATTCTTTAAAAAATCCACGTCTACAGTCCTTTAAAAATTCTTTAAAAAATCCACGTCTACAGTCCTTTAAAAATTCTTTAAAAAATCCACGTCTACAGTCCTTTAAAAATTCTTTAAAAAATCCACGTCTACAGTCCTTTAAAAATTCTTTAAAAAATCCACGTCTACAGTCCTTTAAAAATTCTTTAAAAAATCCACGTCTACAGTCCTTTAAAAATTCTTTAAAAAATCCACGTCTACAGTCCTTTAAAAATTCTTTAAAAATCCACGTCTACAGTCCTTTAAAAATTCTTTAAAAAATCCACGTCTACAGTCCTTTAAAAATTCTTTAAAAAATCCACGTCTACAGTCCTTTAAAAATTCTTTAAAAAATCCACGTCTACAGTCCTTTAAAAATTCTTTAAAAAATCCACGTCTACAGTCCTTTAAAAATTCTTTAAAAAATCCACGTCTACAGTCCTTTAAAAATTCTTTAAAAAATCCACGTCTACAGTCCTTTAAAAATTCTTTAAAAAATCCACGTCTACAGTCCTTTAAAAATTCTTTAAAAAATCCACGTCTACAGTCCTTTAAAAATTCTTTAAAAAATCCACGTCTACAGTCCTTTAAAAATTCTTTAAAAAATCCACGTCTACAGTCCTTTAAAAATTCTTTAAAAAATCCACGTCTACAGTCCTTTAAAAATTCTTTAAAAAATCCACGTCTACAGTCCTTTAAAAATTCTTTAAAAAATCCACGTCTACAGTCCTTTAAAAATTCTTTAAAAAATCCACGTCTACAGTCCTTTAAAAATTCTTTAAAAAATCCACGTCTACAGTCCTTTAAAAATTCTTTAAAAAATCCACGTCTACAGTCCTTTAAAAATTCTTTAAAAAATCCACGTCTACAGTCCTTTAAAAATTCTTTAAAAAATCCACGTCTACAGTCCTTTAAAAATTCTTTAAAAAATCCACGTCTACAGTCCTTTAAAAATTCTTTAAAAAATCCACGTCTACAGTCCTTTAAAAATTCTTTAAAAAATCCACGTCTACAGTCCTTTAAAAATTCTTTAAAAAATCCACGTCTACAGTCCTTTAAAAATTCTTTAAAAAATCCACGTCTACAGTCCTTTAAAAATTCTTTAAAAAATCCACGTCTACAGTCCTTTAAAAATTCTTTAAAAAATCCACGTCTACAGTCCTTTAAAAATTCTTTAAAAAATCCACGTCTACAGTCCTTTAAAAATTCTTTAAAAAATCCACGTCTACAGTCCTTTAAAAATTCTTTAAAAAATCCACGTCTACAGTCCTTTAAAAATTCTTTAAAAAATCCACGTCTACAGTCCTTTAAAAATTCTTTAAAAAATCCACGTCTACAGTCCTTTAAAAATTCTTTAAAAAATCCACGTCTACAGTCCTTTAAAAATTCTTTAAAAAATCCACGTCTACAGTCCTTTAAAAATTCTTTAAAAAATCCACGTCTACAGTCCTTTAAAAATTCTTTAAAAAATCCACGTCTACAGTCCTTTAAAAATTCTTTAAAAAATCCACGTCTACAGTCCTTTAAAAATTCTTTAAAAAATCCACGTCTACAGTCCTTTAAAAATTCTTTAAAAAATCCACGTCTACAGTCCTTTAAAAATTCTTTAAAAAATCCACGTCTACAGTCCTTTAAAAATTCTTTAAAAAATCCACGTCTACAGTCCTTTAAAAATTCTTTAAAAAATCCACGTCTACAGTCCTTTAAAAATTCTTTAAAAAATCCACGTCTACAGTCCTTTAAAAATTCTTTAAAAAATCCACGTCTACAGTCCTTTAAAAATTCTTTAAAAAATCCACGTCTACAGTCCTTTAAAAATTCTTTAAAAAATCCACGTCTACAGTCGTTTAAAAATTCTTTAAAAAATCCACGTCTACAGTCCTTTAAAAATTCTTTAAAAAATCCACGTCTACAGTCCTTTAAAAATTCTTTAAAAAATCCACGTCTACAGTCCTTTAAAAATTCTTTAAAAAATCCACGTCTACAGTCCTTTAAAAATTCTTTAAAAAATCCACGTCTACAGTCCTTTAAAAATTCTTTAAAAAATCCACGTCTACAGTCCTTTAAAAATTCTTTAAAAAATCCACGTCTACAGTCCTTTAAAAATTCTTTAAAAAATCCACGTCTACAGTCCTTTAAAAATTCTTTAAAAAATCCACGTCTACAGTCCTTTAAAAATTCTTTAAAAAATCCACGTCTACAGTCCTTTACAAATTCTTTAAAAAATCCACGTCTACAGTCCTTTAAAAATTCTTTAAAAAATCCACGTCTACAGTCCTTTAAAAATTCTTTAAAAAATCCACGTCTATAGTCCTTTAAAAATTCTTTAAAAAATCCACGTTTATTGTCCTTTACATGTCCTTTAAAAATTCTTTAAAAATTCCAAGTTTCTAGTCCTTTAAAAATTGTTTAAAAAATCTACATTTTTAGTCCTTTGTTTAAAAAATCCACATTTTTAGTCCTTTGAATATCCTTTAAAGATTGTTTAAAAAAACACATTTTTAGTCCTCTGAATATCTTTTAAAAATTGTTTAAAAAATCCAAAGCAAATGAAAAGTGACAACTCTAAGCAACTTGGTTTATTTCCAATAACAAAACCAATAACATTGGCTTCTATGACAACCAAAACCGATAAAATTCTAATTCGAAAATAATACTGATTTTCATGCCACCAAAGCATTTTTTCTTGTCGTTTTTAAAACCAATAGTGACAAAATTGGTTTCTATGACAGCCCTGAATAGCACATTTTGAAAAAAATATATGTTATATAAAAAAATTAAGTGGAGCTTACAATTCAACTATAAATGTTTCCAAAGTTTAGTATCAACTTTGAATACCCTCCACCATTTTGAACGAGTTTGGAAGTTTTCAAAAAAGTAACATTTGTTAAAAATTATGTTAAAATCATAAAAATACCAAATATAGCCGTTATTTTGGGGTCTATACGAAGACGTGGACCTGCATAGGCAACTTTTGTCATAAGCCATTACAACATTCAAATACCAAAAATGAAAAAACAACTCAAAAAGTATCAGTCGGTTTTGCCGACAGATGTATACTCTTAGTTCGATTATTATTATTAAATATATTTTAACTTCTGTAATTATTATTCAAATTGTTGACCTTCTATGGAGTAGGTTCCGAAAGACCTAAATAATTATGATATAAATATTGCGAAGTGCCAGGTTTGGCACTGAGATATGTGATAATTTTTAGTCGACCGAAATACCAATACCGACCATTTTCATACCTCATCTAATACAGATAAAAATATTGGTATGGGCAAAGATAAGAAAATCGAACATTTATATCCAATTTTGTGCGAAATCATAAATTCCATATTCATCACAGGTTTCTGGTTGAGAGAATTATTTACTCCAAATTTTACTCCATTTTGCTCCAAATGTCCTGAAACGGATTTGGTCCAAAGAGACCTAGGGTTAACCGTTATATTGATGAGGCACGTTCTGACCGCATCAAATGGTATATACCCTCACTAGCCATATGTCTGAGGGTATAAAAAATAAGTAAAAAAACATTAAGTTCGCCCAGGCCGAACTTTTATTATCCTCAACCTTTGGGTAAAGAAAACATTTTTATATAAAAGTATCTGAATTCCACTTTAAATTACAAATACCAGTAAGGCCTTTTGAATAAAACTGTTAAACTTTTCGAAAAACCATAAAGGGGGTAAGGCCATTGTATGGAGGACATACCAAAACGGGAACCTCAATAGAGAATTTTATACTTAACTTTTACCTTTCCTGAATTCTTCGCCATACAGACGGCATAGATATCGTAACGTATGCGGGCCCAGTGGTCGATGACATGTGTGAAAGGTGTAACCCCTATCTCGCGGAGCTTGCCGCATACTTGCACGCAAGGAATATGAAAATATCCGCCACGGAATCAACGCCCATACTCTTTACCACAGGGTCTGCGGAAATGAGAACACAGCTGAATGTGCAGGTCGAGGAAAATTTTATACCGACCACGACTACCCCAAGATTCTAAGGGTCACATTCGACAGCATGTTCAAGTCGTCCGCGCAAGTCACACGTATCTGCGACAAAATGAAAAATAGGAACAAGGTCCTCAAGGCGCTAGCCGGCAGCACTTGGGGTGCGGACAAGGTAACCTTGTTGACCTCTTATAACGCGGTATGTCGATCTGTGGTCAGCTATGCAGCTCCAGTGTGGTTTGCGAATGCTGCCCGGAGAACTGCGACAGGGTGCCTGCGACAGGGTACTCATGAAACCAGTGGTCCATCCACATGAGGAGGCGAAAGGCCTTCCCTTACGTCAACATAACATATGCTTTCGTTGCAGTATCTGCTTGGGTGTTACCGGGAGAGTCATTCCAATCACCATACGCTGCACCTTTTTAATTGCACAGCTTAACCTACCCAACACACTCCAGAAGAGCATGAATACAAACATCCATGTGTACTACTGCTACAACACAAACAACAACCGAGTTGAACATATAAATGTCTAAATTATAATCTTTATTTCTATATTATTGAAAATAATGCACAATTTAGATTGCCTTAAAAATCACGTTTACCATCTGTAGGTGTAAATGCCACCACCACGGTAATCAGGACGGCTATTGCCATAAGGTCCACCCAAATGCTGGCCATAACCTGCTGTGGCATCAAACGAATGTCGGCCATTGTCGCTGGTCCAAATATTTTTACGGACATCGGCATTTACATAGTAACCATCCTTGGGAGAGCCTCCCACATCGACACGAACTTGGGGGTCCTGAAAGGAGTTTAATAATTTTTTAAATATTTTGAAAAAAAAAAAATTTTTTTCTGATTCGTACCTTGATCTGTGGTGGTGGCGGCTGTGATTTATCATCAGCAACCACAAGAGCGGCACTTAGAGCACACAAGAGAACAATGGCCCAAAGATATTTCATTTTACTCCGATAAGTTGTGGTTCTTGCGGAATGTGTTCGAAAACTGTAAAGACTTTGAGATTGTCACTCATTATTTATTGATTTAGATTTAATGTTCTAAAGCCAATAAGGGCGGGAAATAACCGAGGGGAACCACTGGCAATACTTCCCCCGTTTAAATATATGTATGTTTTTTTTTCTTTTTATTTAATCTGTGTGGGGGGATTTCTTAGCTAGCATCTTGAAAATTCTAAATTGATAACCTATTGTATGAACCGTTAAAATTAATTAATAAATAAATTACAAATTGTATTACTTTTAATGAGAGTAAATAAAAAAATTAAATATACATTTTCAAGTGATTACGATTTTATGAAGATCAGAATGAAGAATTGTATTTCAGCTGCAAAGAGTATCATTTGACACGGCCCCCAATATTTCTCGCTCCAATTACTGGTATAGACTCTAGAGTCACATTTGTCTACCCCTCCACACATCCTCTTTATACCCTCAGATATATGGCTAGAGAGGGTATATATCATTTGATACGGCCAAAACGTGCCTCATTGAAATAACGGTTTTAGACCCTTGGTCTCTTTGGACCAAATCAGTTTCAGGACATTCGGAGTCGATCTAACGATGTCCGTTCTAGTATTCTTTTTGATCCAAACTTGGTACATCGTAATATTATTGTCAAACTTAGATAGAGTTCGGAGATGGGCAATATCGGTCCACTCCTTCTGGTATCTTCCACACAAAATGTCAACATTTTCAAAGAAAATAATTTACTGTACAGAAAGAGAAACAATAATCCAATTTTTCTCCAACTTTGCGAATCCTAATATTTGCATCAGGGCTAGGTCAGGTAAGAAAATGGACAATATCGGTCCGATTGCCTTCAAATTTCACACATCCCAATAATTTTATTAAACCAAGGTCTGGTGTTGAGATCAGTGTTGCCGTTTTGGGCGTTTCCGTCCAAATTTGGGCGGAAAAAAGATAAATTTTGTGGTTTGGGCGGATTTTGGGCGGATTTTTTCCATATTGGGTACAAATTTATTTTTCATTGTTTATTTTTATGTAATTTAATTTTTTTATTACTAACTGAATTTTATATTTTTTTTATTGAGATGAATCGTTATTTATTTTATAGATTTTTGTTAAGTTTTTTAATAATATATATATATATATATAATACATTAGGCTATAGTCGTGCGGGGCCGACCATGTGATACCCTACAACACTACAATATGTTAGAAGCACCCTCATGTCCAAATCCATTTTGAAAGATTTCGCTTTTGAAATTATGTCACGGAGCACTCCAACATACAGAGTTGTCCATATTCGACGGACCCATCTGGCAACGCCATAACTTTTGACAGAGATGTCACATCGCTTAATGACATACTACTGTCAGTCCAAGCAGATTTTTACCATGAACCAATACACGCCACGCGAAATAGTTGAAATTTACATTTAACAGAAGAAGTCAATTATGAAAACTCAACGTGCATTTAAAACATTAAAAAATGTGAGAAGTGCGCCTTCTAAGAGCACCATTAGGCGTTTATACGAAACATTTTCGACTGGTAAGGCTCTTTCTAATCCGAAGAGGCCATATAAAAGTCGACCAAGGCGATCGGCCGAGAATATCGCTGCCGTACGAGCCAGTATTGAGAGGTCCCCAAAAACATCCCAAAAACGCCCTTCTCAGCAGTTGGGCATGGTTCGGTCCACTTTACAACGGATTATTCGCATTGATTTGCATTTGTTCCCGTACAAAATTCAATTGACACAAAGAATGTTGCCTGCGGACAAGACTCGTCGATTGGAATGGGCCCAAAGAGTCATGGGTCCGTCGAATATGGGCAACCCAGCATTTTGACCAGGGACATTTTCCCAATATTTATGCACTCCGTCGTGCTGTTAGTTTTTGTGGCCCACTTTACGGCTAAATATATTCCAATGGTCATCCAAAATGCCAGAATTCTTCCCTGTGCTTACCTATCTTTTCAGTAGTATAAGTCAAATTGAAAAAATCGCATGCGATAAAAAATATGAAAAAATAAAAAAATGTCACAAAATACTGCAAAATCTATATTAACATCATTATAGGCATCTTTTTATGCGATTTTTTTTAGATTTTATACTTTTATGTTAAGAGGGCATTCTGAATTGACAAAATTTGACGAAATCGGTACAGCCAATCTTGAGATATAAGCATTCTAGCTAACATCCCCCTCCCTCTTATATATACATTGTATATATTTCGCTATAAACATCCGATATATTTACTATCGGCATCTACGTAACGGTCAGAGTTGATCTGTTCGTCTAGTTGTGATTTCGCCGGGATTAAAAATATTCGCGGTTTAATGAAAAATTTGACTTTTATTTAACACAAATGTTGTGGCCTATTTCAACCACTAAATATTACCCGATGACCATCTAAATTGGAAGGCTTCTGTCCAGCCCTAAGCTCTAGCCCCATGCTAACTTTCGTGTCCATTTGTCTATAATTGCCACCTGTAGATCAACTGCAAAATCAGTAATTTTTTCAGTTTTTGGTCCATTTCAACCCCTAAATATTATGCAATCATCTCCAAAAGAAATAAGGGTTATTCTGACACCTTCTTTGAGTACCTTCTTTATGTATATTGTAAAATTTTCAATAAAATGTACTTGAATACAAACTATATTTAAATTATTCAACTTTTTATAGTTTGGGCGGATATGGTCGATTTTGGGCGGTTTTTATAAAAAATTTGGGCTGAAATAAAAATTTCTAACGGCAACATTGGTTGAGATGGAAGATATCGGTCCACTCCTTCTGGTACCTCACCCACAAAGTTCGAAATTTTCAAAAAAATACATTTTCTGCACAGAAAGAGAAGCATTAATCCGATTTGACTCCAATTTTGCGAATCCTAATATTCGTATCAGTGCTAGGCCAGGTGCGAAAATGGACAATATCGGTTCACTCCATCAAGTACCTCCCACACAAAGGGTCAAAGTTTTAAATAATAACAACTCTTATATAATGTGATGTAAGCATCCGATTGTCTTCAAATTACCCACATCACAATATTTTTATTAACTTAAGGTCTGGTGTTAAGATGGAATATATCAGTCCACTCCTTCAAGTACCTCCCCAAAAAGGGTCAAAATTTTGAATACCCATGAAGCTCATAAAACGCCAAATTAACATCCGATTCCTTTCAGACTTGGCACATCTCAATATTTCCATCAACACAAGATCTGTTATAAAGATAGTAGAGATTGGGCCATTCCTTCTGGTACCTCCCACACACAAAGGGTCAAATTTTTGAATAACTAAAACGATCATAAAAACCGAAATAAGCATCCGGTTCCCTTCAAATTATACACATCGCAATATTTTAATTAAGCCAAGATCTGGTGAAATTATGGGATATATCGGCACACTCCTTCTGGTACCTACCCCACAAAGGGTCAAAATTTTGAATATTAAAATTCGAAGGAAGCATCCAACTCTCTTCAAATTTCACACATATAAGCATTTTTGCTAACACAAGATCTCTTGTGAAGATAATATATATCTGCCAACCCCTTCTAGTACTTCACCCACAAAGGGTCACAATTTCCAATACTTATATCTGTCATAAGTTTGCGAAACAAGTCGGCGATTCTTTACAACTTGCTATGTCCAAATATTTCTCTTAACCAAAAATCTGATATAAATATGTTTTTTAACGGAATTTAGGATTTCGCATAAAATTGGATATAAATGTTCGATTTCCTGCAAATTTTGCCCATACCAATATTTTTATCTGTATTAGATAAAGTATGAAAACGGAATATTTTCGTCCACTATATCTGCTACTTCACACACATTTCCACATTTTCCAAAAATTTGCACATATCTCATATCAGGTACAGGAAGTAGTCGATATAGTCCAAATCTGTCACGTTGTAATATTAGGTGTGTCTGGTAACCATAAAATTTGTAAAAATTGTTACAAATTGTTACTGGAAGTCGTCTGTTAACCCGAAAGATCTGCAAAAGAGATCGGTTGGAGAGAGAAATTTTGACAGTTCTTTCAGTGAGAGTTTGCAAATTCTTGCTGGAAAAATTTCTTCTTGCAATCACTTGCAACTCTTCTTCTTCTCATTCATCGACATTCAATCAGATGTTTTCTATTGTTTGTTTATTTATTTTTGTGCTTTCAATTTGAATTTTTTTTTTGGAATTAGCAAGACTAATAGTTTTTGGAGAAAAACTTTACAAAATGTGAAAAACGTAAATGTTAATATGTAATAAGAAAATAAAAGACTATTTCTAACATTTTTATTTAAAAAACTTGTAAAATTAGTATTGCTTCCTTTGTTTTAATTCTCCTTATGGGGGACAAATTGGTTTGTTTTGATTTGATCAGCTGATTAGTTGCAAGCTTCTGCAGGAATACCGTCTGTTTACTTTTCGCATTTTCCTTGCAAAAGAGAATAAAACTACCTTACTCTCTCAGAAAGAAGTTACTGGACAATTCCTGCAGGAAAAGTAACCAGACACACCTATTTATATCAGTCTTAGGTCAGATATGAATTGGTCAATATTGGCCAACTGCTTGGGAACCCTTCCCATAACGGGTCAACAGTTTGAATAATTATAACTTAAGGCTGGTGGTATACATCTGTCGGCAAAACAGACTAATACTATTTTACTTGTTACTATTAAATTTGAAATCTTGTGGAAATTCATTATTATTTTCGAATCACTTAAATTTTGAATTATAAAACAATTTGCAATTCTGTATATCATTCATAACGGTTCATATGTTAGGTTATCTGTTATTGACTTTTCAAGATGCCGTCTTAGTTTAAGAAATCCCCCCACACATAGAGATAATAAAAAGAAAAACAAAAAACATACATATTTAAACGGGGAAGTATTGCCAGTGATTCCCCTCAGTTATTTGCAGACCAAATTTGTTTACTACACCACATCCAATCGAATAAATAGCCAAAGGCATTCTCCAAGTCTACACAGTTTCTAAAAACATTTCTCAGCTACCACAACCCCACTGAGTCGATTATAGAACAACAAAATGAAATATCTCTGTGCCATTGTTCTCTTGTGTGCTCTGAGTGCAACATTTGTGGTTGCCGACGATAAGTCACAGCCACCTCCTTCACAAATTAAGGTACGAACAAGGAAACACAAATTTGTTTTTTATAAAATGTAAAATAATATTTGTTATTCCTTTCAGGACCCCCAAGTCCGCGTCGATGTGGGAGGCTCTCCCAAGGATGGTTACAATGTAAATGCCGATGTCCGTAAAAATATTTGGACCAGCGACAATGGCAGACATTCGTTTGATGCCACAGCAGGTTATGGCCAGCACTTGGGTGGACCTTATGGCAATAGTCGTCCTGATTACCGTGGCGGTGGCATTTACACCTACAGATGGTAGATTAAAATAAAACAAAACTATGTTGTTTTTCCAAAATAAAAAAGTAAAAATTATTGTTTAAAAATATTTTGTCATTCAATTTGGAATCTCTCCCATAAAAAAGACCATGGAAAATCTGGTAAAAAAACAATTGGGAAACATTTTCGCTTTTTTTTTTTGCAACATTGATGGAAATCTTTTTTTGATGTATAGAAGTTTTTCTTCGTTGGTGACTTATAGTTACATTTGATGAAGAATAATTTTATCTTTGACGTCATCTTTCTGAGATGATGCTTTGTAGGAGTATTTTTCATGAAAACACATAAGTTAAGGCTTTTATCCTAAAATGTATTTTTATACCCTCCACCATAGTATAAAGGGTAAATTAAGTTTGTCATTCCGTTTGTAACACCTCGAAATTTTTTCATTTTAGACCCCACAAAGTATATACACTGGTGGCCAAAACTAAAGCAACTGAAATTACAAGAACAACGAATGCCCTGTAACTTTTTCAAAAATTAAGAAAATGAGAAAGTTTTTCTTGTTTTAAATTAGGTACTTTATTCACTTTTTAAAAACTTAAAACATAAAACCAAAATTCATTTTTATATAAAAAATAATGTTTGGTAAAGTCAATTAACCCGATTTTGGCTTGGACAAAACAAAAGCAACTCTGTTGTACATTCATATAACCGCTGCAATTTCAGTTGTTTTTACTGTGATATTTATCGCTTTTTGCTTCCTTCGACAATTTCGCTTGTCATAAATCCTTTTTGAGAAGTTTTTTACAACAGTATGTGTTTTTCTTTTCGTTTTTTGAGTACTGCGCAAAAAAAAATTTAAAAATGGCTAAAAGCAAATACAGTACAGAATAAAACAGCAAATTATCAGTGACTATCAAAACAATATATCACAGAAAGTGATTTCCGAGAAATATTTCATAAATATTTATGTGATTTCATAATTATTTCTGTAAACTAAGTCGGTTTTTTGAAACTGGATCAATAGTAACAGTCTATAACGGATGAAGGCCCTGAAAAACTATAGCCCGTACTGATCCACAAATTGTGAGAGAAATAAAAAACAACTATTTAAGAGTTCAACTGGATTGGTGAGAGAGCAATCATTGGATATAAGCTCGAGATCAGTGCGTAGACGAGTAGTGGCAGCTGGTCTGCATGCCCGTAAGACATCAAAAAACCATTCATATCTGAAAAAATCAAAAAGGCTTTCGGAAACGATAATATTAAGTGGAATCAAGCTCAATGGAAAAAACATTATTTCTTCGATGAGTCTACGTTTAATATAAAAGGCTCAGACGTGAAAATTTTACGGTGAGAAGACAAAAAATTAAGGACTCAAGCCGCAGTGTTGCAAAGGTACAGTGAAGCATGAGGGAGGGTCAAAAATGGCGTGGCGCTGTTTTTCTTTCTATGGACTTGGGCCTATCCATAAAATAAAGAACGTTGTGGATCGGTTTGTTTACAAAGATGTGTTGGACATCACGTTGTTCCCTTACGCTGAGTAAAATATTCGGATGATTTGGGTGTTTCAGCATGACAATGATCCCAAACTTGTATCAAAACTTGTCAAATATTGGTTGCGGGAGTCAAAAATTCATGTTTTGTTATGGCCGACATAATCACTTGACCTAAACTCCTTAGAAAACCTTTGGAGTATCGTAGATAGGAAGATCAAGAGATATTCGGAAATAAATAAGCACAACATTTTCTAAAGAATTCGGGGTGCCTGGGAAAGCACACCCAAGGATCAAATTGAGCGTGTTATATATTCAATGCCTCGTAGGTGTGCAGCTGCTATCAAAAATAATGGATGCTATCGACTACTAGCCAAAATTGAATCAAATCAAAAGTTGCTGACCAAGTTTTGACCAATCAAAAATTGGGTCATTTTAGTTTTCCACATATTAATTTTCGTTCAAATTTTTTTTTGTATTTTTATTTTTAGTTTCTTAAAAGTTAATTAAACCCCTCATTTAAAACTGGAAAAATAATTACGATTTGTTTATTTTTGTAAAAGTTACAGGACATTTATTGTCTTTGCGATTGAAGTTGCTTTAGTTTTGGCCACCAGTGTATATTCCTGTGGAAATTACACTAGCTTCCGGACGAAATGAAGTAGGTTGATAAAATTTAACTCAAATGCATATTATGTCTGTAGAAATTCTGCTATTGAAAATGGGCCATGTAGGTCCACGTTTTGGTATAGCCCCCATATAATGGTACCTCCATATTTTCGGTATGTTTTGTGATTTAAGCGACATTATTCACCGGAAATGTTTCATATTTGGTATTTGAAGTTCGTAATGAATACTACAGCCTAAAACAGGAGATTGTCTGTGCAGGTCTACGTCTTCGTATAGCCCACGGTACCTCCCGATATTCGGTACCGGGATTGTTCAAATTTGGTATTTGAAGTTCGTAATGAGTACTACAGCCTAAGACCGAAGAGGTCTACGCCTTCGTATGGACCCCATATAACGGTACCTCCCGATATTCGGTATTATTTGCAGGAAAATTTTCAAATTTGCTATTTGAAGTTCGTAATAGATACTACATAATGATATTTTAATGATATTAGCGGCATTTTTCACCGGAATTGATTCAAATTTGGCATAAATTAAAGATGTCATCATCGCTGGTATACGACATTCTCGAACGCTTACTTGTATCACTCATGTGTATATACTATGGGAATATGGGAAGAGATTATACTGACTTATACAGGGAGAGATGAAAAAACTGCAACCAACTTCAGACTGCTGTCATTTCCAAGCCACTCGACCGACAGCTGTTAAAATTATTCCAGTGACAGCTCATTATATTGTTTAAAAGCGTACAAAAGCATTTTGGTGAGAATTTGCCAGAAAAAAAGTTATTCGTGATGGAAAGAAGCGACTTGATCGTAGCCCGCGTCGCAGTGGGCGAAAAATGGTTCGTGAGCTGAACATATTGCAATATTCCATTCGGCAAATATTGAAAAATGATCTCGGGGAGCCATTGAAATTACATAAAGTGCAAGAACTTACACCGCAACAGAAAGAAAATAGACTCAAAAGAGCTAAAGAGTTGCTTCGCTTGGTCGAAAGTGGTGAACTGCCGAATTTTGTTTTCTTCTTTGTAAACAAACAAAATAATCATTTTTACTTGCCAAAGAGGTCAGCTGAAAATGTGCATCTTCGGTTGGCCACCAGAACTCAAGCGCCGACCATGGTGATGGTGTGGGCCGCCATAACAGCCGATGGTCGCTTTCCGCTCGTATTAATCGACCGGGCATCAGAATAAATGCCGAATATTAATTCTAATGCCACGGAAGGTGTATTAAAGCCTTGGGCACGCAAACATTTTGGCCGCAGACCTTGGACATTCCAACAGGAGTCAGCATGCGCCACCCAAGAATGGTTACTAAATGAGGTTCCTCGCTCCATTTCCAGCGCACAATGGCCACCAAAATCTCCGGATATCAATCCCTTGGACTATTGTGTCTGGAGTATGGGAATGGGCCAAAATACCACAGAGCAACATCCGGGCAGCGTGTGACGGTTTCTTTGGCCATTTGAAGGCGATAATTCGTGCCAAAGGTGACCAATTCGAACAAATCTAAACTTATTCTAAAATTTGATGCTATTTCCGACTTTTTTTGTTTCATTCAATAAAATTAAAAAAAAAGTAAAAATTGTGGCGTCGAACACCTTTTATGCCACTGTCCTGCTCTATCAAGGGAAAGACTACGAGCTATGGGAGAACATTTGACTTATGATTCCTTTGTCGTCTTAAGCTTCGCAAAAAGGCTTCGCTACGACCAAAATATAACTGGGTACGTCACTTATCAATTTCAAACTTTTTTTATTAAAAGCTTTTAAAAATCTAACTATACACTTAACTAATCAATATTTCAACAATTTATACAAAATACTTTTCCATTATCTTAAAAATCGTGACTTATTCCAATGCCAATCTGGGCATTTGGATTTTCATTGGCATTCGGGCCACTTATTTGTTTCGATACACCACCGGTAACATCGATTTTGGTATTGCCATTGTCGCTTTGCCAGATATTGTGGCGGCCATCGATGCTGACTTGGGCACCCTGGCCGGGAGAACCACTTACACCGGCCGTTATTTGGGTCTAGAGGAGAGGAGATCATTAATTACAAAATATTTGTTATTCTCACAAATCTCTACTTACCTTTGGATTCTGATAGGTATATTGGGCACCCAAATTAACTTGGGTCTTTTCATTGCCCTGGGGTCCACCCAGGTGTTTGGAGCCCTCTGCGTTGACATCAAACGAGTGGCGTTTATTGGCACTTTCCCAGATATTTTGCTGGCCACTTACACTTAAATCTACTCCTTGGCCTGGTTTTCCTTTGGCGCCAGCTGTTATTTGGGTCTGTGCCGGGGAGACAAACACTTACTTAAGTGGAAACATTTTTAAAAATATTCGGTGATTTTTTTACCTTATCCGTGTTGAAACTATATTGACCACCCAGGGTAACATCTGTCTTGGTATTACCCAAGGGTCCACCCAAATGTTTCGAGACATCGGCATTCACATCTAGGGAGTGTTTTTCGTTGCCACTTTTCCAAATGTTTTGATTGGCTTGGACATTGAGATCAACACCCTGATGCGGCTTGCCACTTGCCGAGGCTGTTAGTTGTGTCTGAGGAAAAAATATGATTAATTTTTAAAACATATCAAAAAATTGTAATCTCCACACCCACCTTGTCCGTATTATAAGAATACTGGCCACCCAGGGTAACATCGGTTTTACCATTCCCGTTTGGACCACCCAGTGGCTTGTTCACATTCAACGTAGCATCCAAGGAATGTTGTTTGTTTTTACTCTCCCACACATTCTGCTTAGCATCAATATTCAATTGTCCTTGTTTGTTGGGTAAAAGGCTTTGATCGAATTTAATGGTTCCACTTAGCTTGGGATCCACTCTGGGCTGTTGCACGGGTGTTGATGGTTTTGTTGGAGTCTGGGGGAAGTGAGACAAAAAATAGTTTCTTTTTAATATTAAAGAGTAAAAAAATCAGAATAAATAAATCGTTGCATACTTTTGGGCATGCAGAAAATTGTAAAATCAAGCTATAATTGGAAAATCCAAAAATCGATTACACTCTGCGACAAAATTCAATTTTTTTCAATAATTACAGGAGACACGTGTATCGGTGTTTGTTTTGCCCTCTTCCAAATATTTAATTTTTAATATTTAAAAGTAAAAAATCAAAATAAATCGTTGCATACTTTTAGGCAATACAGAAAAATTGTAAAATCAATCAATAATTGCAAAATCCAAAAATCGATTGCACTGTGCGACAAAATTCAATTTTTTCAATAATTACACGACAAATCCTGCAGATTATGGAAGTTGAGCTAAAAAAAGGAGACATATGTATCGGTGTTTGTTTTGGCCCTCTTCCAAATATTTAATTTTTAATATTTAAGAGTAAAAATCAGAATAAATCGTTGCATACATTTGGGCATGCAGAATATTTTAAAATTAACCTATAACTGCAAAATCCAAAAATCGATTACACTGTGCGACAAAATTCATTTTTTTTAATAATTACAGGACAAATTCTGCTGAGGAGGAGACACATGTATCGGTGTTTGTTTTGGCCCTCTTCCATATTTTTATACCCTTCACCATAAATAGTATGGAGGGTATATTAAGTTCGTCATTCCGTTTGTAGCTCAACGAAATAATAATTTTAGACATTACAAAGCAGATATACTCTTGATCAGTGTAAAATTCTAAGACGATCCGTTCGCCCGTCTGTTGTAATCACGCTAGAGTCAAAACGAATAAGTATAGGAATCTACAATTTTGCACAGATCAGTCTTTTGTCTGCAGGCAGGTCAAGTTCGAAGAGGTTTCTCATCTGAGACAAGATCTCCCGTAATAACTCAATTTTTTGGAGAAATATGTCAAAGGAAGAAATATTCTAGATCGAATTTCACTATGGGTTGCCAAAGTAAAGAAATATCCATTTCCATTACAGGGTGAGATGAAAAACTGCAACAAACTTCAGACTGCTGTCATTTCTAAGGCACTCGTCCGACAGCTGTTAAAATTATTCCAGTGACAGCTCATTATATTGTTTAAAAGCGTACAAAAGCATTTTAGTGAGAATTTTCCAGAAACAAAGTTATTCGTGATGGAATTCAAGCGTGATAGTGTGATCTCTATATATATCTCTGGAAAACCATAAGTGGCTATGGTTAGAGCTCTGCAGCATTTAAAAGTGAATAAATCGTTTGTGTCTCGTACCACTCCTCGTGATACTGGTAGCGTAACCCCACGACAAGGAAGTGGACGGAAGAAAACAGCAACATCAGCAGAAATGGTTCGAAAAGTAAAGAAACGACTTGATCGAATCCCGCGCCGCAGTGGCCGAAAAATGACTCGTGAGCTGAACATATCGCAATATTCCATTCGGCAAATATTGAAAAATAAGCTCGGGGTAAAGCCATTGAAATTCCAAACAGAGCAAGAACTTACACCGCAACAGAAAGAAAATCGACTTAAAAGACCAAAAGAGTTGCTTCGCTTGGCCAAAAGTGATGAACTGCCGAATTTGGTTTTCTCCGATGAGAAAACATTCGTTGTCCAGCAGTTTGTAAACAAACGAAGTGATCGTGTTTACTGACCAAAGAGGTCAGCTGAAAATGTGCACCTTCGGTTGGCCACCAGAACTCAAGCGCAGGCCATGGTAATGTTGTGGGCCGCCATAAGAGCCGATGGTCGCTCTCCGCTCGTATTAACTTGTCCGTGGCATCAGAATAAATGCCGAATATTATCGCGAAAATATTCTGGAGGGTGTATTAAAGCCTTAGCCACGCAAACATTTTGGCCACAGACCTTGGATATTCCAACAGGACTCAGCACGCGCCACCCAAGAATCGTTACAAAATTAGGTTCCTCGCTTCATTTCCAGCGCACAATGGCAACCAAAATCTCCGGATAAAAATCCTTTGGACTATTGTGTCTGCAGTTTTTTTGGAAAACAAGGTTGGCACTAAAAAATACCAAAGTGTCGATCACTTTAAGCAAGCCCTTCGCCGGGAACGGGCCAAAATAACGCAGAGCAATATTCGGGCAGCGTGTGACGGTTTCATTGGCCGTTTGAAGGTCATAATTCGTGCCAAAGGTGACCAATTCGAACAAATCTAAACTTATTCTAAAATTTTATGCTTTCTCCGACATTTTTTGCTTTCATTCAATAAAATTCGAAAAAAAAATAAAAATTAAAATTTTTGCAAAAATGCAAAAATATTTCCTAATTTTTTTGATCAAGAAAGGTCTAAGAAAATATTCTGTATTTTAAAATTATTTAAAATTACCTTGGGTGGTGTGACAGGTTTAGGAGGTGTCTTCACTGGCGTAACGACAGCGGGCTGGAAGAGAGAGGGAAATCGTTTTTAATTTGAAAAAAATCAATATTAAAATCTGCAAACCTTTGTAAGAGGCTTTACAACTGCAACAGGTTTGACTGGAGTCTGTAAATAGAACAGAAATTAAAAAATAAATAAATAAATAAATTTTCATTGAAAAGCCTTTTTTTGTAGGACATCAAACAGAAGCATATGGAAAAATATTCTTTAAAAATCCACGTTTGATTGGTCCTTGAAAAAATATTCTTTAAAAATCCCCGTTTGATTGTTCCTTGAAAAATATTCTTTAAAAAATCCACGTTTGATTGGTCCTTGAAAAAATATTCTTTAAAAAAATCCACGTTTGCTAGGTCCTTGAAAAAATATTCTTTAAAAATCTACGTTTGATTGATCCTTGAAAAAATATTCTTTAAAAAATCTACGTTTGATTGGTCCTTGAAAAAATATTCTTTAAAAAATCTACGTTTGATTGGTCCTTGAAAAAATATTCTTTAAAAATCCACGTTTGATTGGTCCTTGAAAAATATTCTTTAAAAATCCACGTTTGATTGGTCCTTGAAAAAATATTCTTTAAAAAAATCCACGTCTGATTGGTCCTTGAAAAAATATTCTTTAAAAATCCACGTTTGATTGGTCCTTGAACAAATATTCTTTAAAAATCCACGTTTGATTGGTCCTTGAAAAAATATTCTTTAAAAAAATCTACGTTTGATTGGTCCTTGAAAAAATATTCTTTAAAAATCCACGTTTGATTGGTCCTTGAAAAATATTCTTTAAAAATCCACGTTTGATTGGTCCTTGAAAAAATATTCTTTAAAAAAAATCTACGTTTGATTGGTCCTTGAAAAAATATTCTTTAAAAATCCACGTTTGATTGGTCCTTGAAAAAATATTCTTTAAAAATCCACGTTTGATTGGTCCTTGAAAAAATATTCTTTAAAAATCCACGTTTGATTGGTCCTTGAAAAAATATTCTTTAAAAAAAATCTACGTTTGATTGGTCCTTGAAAAAATATTCTTTAAAAATCCACGTTTGATTGGTCCTTGAAAAAATATTCTTTAAAAATCCACGTTTGATTGGTCCTTGAAAAAATATTCTTTAAAAAATCCACGTTTGATTGGTCCTTGAAAAAATATTCTTTAAAAATCCACGTTTGATTGGTCCTTGAAAAAATATTCTTTAAAAATCCACGTTTGATTGGTCCTTGAAAAAATATTCTTTAAAAATCCACGTTTGATTGGTCCTTGAAAAAATATTCTTTAAAAATCCACGTTTGATTGGTCCTTGAAAAAATATTCTTTAAAAATCCACGTTTGATTGGTCCTTGAAAAAATATTCTTTAAAAATCCACGTTTGATTGGTCCTTGAAAAAATATTCTTTAAAAATCCACGTTTGATTGGTCCTTGAAAAAATATTCTTTAAAAATCCACGTTTGATTGGTCCTTGAAAAAATATTCTTTAAAAATCCACGTTTGATTGGTCCTTGAAAAAATATTCTTTAAAAATCCACGTTTGATTGGTCCTTGAAAAAATATTCTTTAAAAATCCACGTTTGATTGGTCGTTGAAAAAATATTTTTTGAAAAATCCACGATTGATTGGTCGTTGAAAAAATATTTTTTGAAAAATCCACATGTGATGGTCCTTTGGTCTATTTTTTATATAGAAGAAATCTACAGAAGATCTTCCTTCTCAAAAAATAAGTTAACAAGGGTTGTTATTAAAGAAAACGGAAAGGTTTTTGTATAGAAGCAAATCAAAGAGACTTTTAGGTTATTTTTATGGAAATCTGAAACTCTGTGTTAAGTATCTTGATTATCTTAAGGTGTCAACTTACCTTTACAGGTGATTTAGGGGCTGCAAGTTTTACCTCAGGCTGTGGCAAAAAAGTTATTGTTTATTAAAAAAATAAAAAATACAACTGTTGAGGTCTTACTTTGGGAACAACTTTTGGCGCGGGATTCACCTTGGTGGCCGGTGCCTTAACGATGGGTTTGGTCACCGTTGGCGGTTTAACCTGGGGCTAAAAAATGTCCAGATTTTAGATTAGAAATTCGATTCTCATTCTTTTTTCATTGATTTAATGGGTCCTACCTTAGCAGGAGCCTTAACTACTGGCTTTACGGGAGCTTTGACAACTGGTTTGGCAGGGGCCTTGACTACTGGCTTCACAGGAGCCTTGACAACTGGTTTTGCTGGGGCTTTGACAACTGGTTTTACAGGTGCTTTGACAACTGGTTTCGCCGGGGCCTTCACTACTGGCTTCACAGGAGCTTTGACAACTGGTTTCGCGGGAGCCTTCACAACAGGCTTTACGGGGGCCTTAACTACTGGCTTTACGGGCGCCTTAACTACAGGCTTTACAGGAGCTTTAACCACTGGTTTTACTGGGGCCTTAACAACTGGTTTTGGAGGGGCTTTGACAACTGGTTTTACGGGGGCCTTTACAACTGGCTTTGGAGGGGCTTTAACTACAGGCTTTACAGCAACCTTGACAACGGGCTAAAATCATCATATAACACGTTAATATTCGAAAATTTGGTCCTATAAACTAAGAAGTTACAAAGAATATGTGTGTGACACTCACTTTGGGTGCAACTTTTACCACCGGTTTTTGAGCCGGTTTAATGACTGGTTTTGGAGCCGGTTTTATAACTGGTTTTGGAACAGCTTTTATCACTGGTTTTGGAGCAGCCCTGACTACTGGTTTCGGTGCAGCCCTCACTACTGGTTTTGGCGGCGCCCTTACCACTGGTCGAGATGGTGCCCGCACAACGGGTCGGGGTGCAGCTCGCACAACAGGTCGCGATGCCGGCCGCACAGCTGATCGTGATGGTGCTTTTACACTAGTCTATAGAAAAAATCGATTTGAATTTCAAAACTAAGACTCAAGCAAAATGCATTACAACGAACTTACCCTAGGTGCAGATCGTGATGGAGATCTCATGCTTGACTAAAATAAAAGCAATAATAATTAATAAAAACAAAAACAAAAATAAATAAAAAAAAATAAAGAATAAAGAGAAAAAAAAGAATAAATAAAACAAGTAAGCAAGGGCTATAGTCGTGCGGGGCCGACCATATGATACCCTACAACACTACAATATGTGAGAAGCCGCCTCATGTCCAAATCCATTTTGGAAAATTTCACTTTTGAAATTATGTTACGGAGCACTGCCCAGATATTACCCTTAGCATTTTGACCAGAGACATTTTCCCAATATTTATGCACTCCGTCGTGCTGTTAGTTTTTGTGGTCCATTTTACGGCTAAATAAAATCCAATGGTCATCCAAAATGCCAGAATTCTTCCCTGTGCTTAACTACCTTCTCAGGCGTGTCGATTGGCTTCAATTGTGTGATCAGGAATTTTTTTGTGTTTTTGGTTCATTTGAACCCCCTAATATTTTGCGATCATCTTTAAAAGCAAGAGGCCCCTCTGTGTCTCCAAATTTAGACTCATCTATATGATTTGCTTATTATATTTGCTTACTATATTCGTAAACGAAATCAGCATAAAAAAGCCAGGAGTTCGCCTGTTGTGTATTTCGGATATGGCCTGTAAGTAATGTTGGTATTTTTTCACACAAAAGTAAAATTGGAAGGCTTCTGCCCAGCCCTAAGTTCTAGCCGCATGCTAACTTCCACGTCGATTGGTCTATAATTGCGACCTGTAGAACAACTGCAAAATCAGGAAATTTTTCAGTTTTTGGTCCATTTCAACCCCTAAATATTATGCGATCATCTCCAAAAACAATAGGGTTCTATTCTGACCATATTCCCACCTTCATTTTCAATTTCGTGAGGATTGGACCATAATTGCGACCTGTAGAGTGATTACAAATTAACATGGACAGACGGACGGACGGACATACATAGCTCGATCGACTTAGCTCGGCGAGATAGGAAGATCCATATATACTTTCATTTGTGGGAAACCAATATTTCGTGGTGTTACATAATTTTTGGCCCAATCAAACTTATAATAGCCCCAACACATAGTATTGTAGGGTATAAAAAATAAAGAATATTTTTAGAGGATTTTTTCAAGGAATTCTAGAACTATAACACTGTGCAACACAAAAAATCAAGAAGGGGAAAGTCCAGCGGACTATGAAAGTAGAGCTAAAAATAGTAGACACGTGCATCGGCGTTTTGAAAGCTCACATCGCAAAGTTACCTAAATTGAGGACAAGTTCCCCCCCTTTAAATATTTTTTTTTTGAAATTTTTGAATAAAGATTCCTTGCAAACCGTGCATTTTAGGTATATAATGTCTTCGGGAATATTAACCCTCAAGCTTGTCAACCAAGGGATCATCAGTTTACAAGAAGTCACCCACGGATGAAATCTGTATTTCCATAGTGTATAAAAAAAATATTTGCATCAATACTCCCAAAAACCGGAAGTATTTACTATTTATACCCTCAGCCATTTGGCTAGAGGGTATACAGGGTGATATGAAAAAACTGCAACCAACTTCAGACTTCTGTCATTTCTAAGCCACTCGTCCGACAGCTGTTAAAATTATTCCCGTGACAGCTCATTATATTGTTTCCATGTAGCATTTTGGTGAGAATTTTCCAGAAAAAAAAACAAGTTAAAAAGCAGTAAGTTCGGCCGGGCCGAACTTTGAAAACCCTCCACCATTTGGAACGAATTTGGAAATAAAATCCCGAAAAAATTTTTTGTAAAATTTTAAAAATACCGAATATTGTCGTTATATTGGTGCCTATACGACGTGGACCCACACAGGCATTATTTGTCATGAGTCATTACCAAATTCAAATTCGGAACTTGAAATAAACGCGAATAATGTAGCTAAAATCATCAAAGTATAGAATATAGGGAGGTACCGTTATATCGGAGCTGTGCGAAGACCTGAACCTGCGTAGACAATTTTTTGTCATATTCTGTAGCATCCATTACGAACTTCAAATACGACATTTCAAACAACTTCCGTGAGTATTGTACCTAAACTCGTCAAAATACCGAATATAGGGAGGTACTGGTATATGTGGCCTGCATAGACAATTTTCTGTCACAGACAGGAGTTTCCATTACGAACTCTAAATGCATAATTTGAAAAAAATTTGGTGAATAAAGACGCTAAAATCACCAAAATACCGAATATAGGGAGGTACAGTTATATGGAGGCTATACGAAGACGTGGACCTGCAGAGACAATTTTCTGTCTTAGGCTGTAGTATCTATTTCGAACCTCAAATACTAAATTTGAAACAATTCCGGTGAATAATGTCACTAAAATCATCGAAATACCGAATATCGGGAGGTACCGTTATATGGGGGCTATACGAAGACGTGGACCTGCACAGACAATTTTCTGTCTTAGACTGTAGTATCCATTTCGAACTTCGAATACCAAATTTGAAACAATTCCGGTGAATAATGTCGCTAACATCATCAAAATACCGAATATCGGGAGGTACCGTTATATGGGGGATATATGATAACCTGGACCTACATGGCCATTTATGAACTTAACCTGCCTACTGGCAAAATATACATGTGTGCAAAATTTTAGCCTTCTATCTCAATTTGTTCGAAAGATAGCGTGATTACAACAGACAGACAGACGGACAGACAGACAGACAGACGGACATGACTAAATCGTCTTAGAATTTTACGCTGATCAAGAATATATATACTTTGTTGGGTCTGACATGAGTATTTCGAAGAGTCACAAACGGAATGACAAATTTAATATACCCTCCATAGTATGGTGGAGGGTATAAAAATTATGGCTTTTGACATTGTTGCATTTTTTTCTCACCTGTACCTCCCTATTTTCGGTATTTTGGTGATTAAAGCGGCATTATTCACCGGAATTGTTTCAAATTTGGTATTTGAAGTTCATAATGGATACTACAGCCTTTAACAGAAAATTGTCTGTGCAGGTCCACTCCTTCGTATAGCCCCCATATAACGGCACCTCCCGATATACGGTATTTTGATGATTTTAGCGACATTATTCACCGGAATTGTTTCAAATATGGTATTTGAAGTTTGTAATGGATACTACAGCCTATGACAGAAAATAGTCTGTACAGGTCCACGTTTTGGTATAGGCCCTAATATAATGGCTACATAAGGTATTTTTAAAATTTTAACAGATTTTTTTACGGATTTTATTTTTTTTGAAAATTGCCAAATTCGTTCCAAATGGTGGAGCGTATTCAAAATTCGGAAAGGCCGAACTTACAGTTTTTTAGGTGTCTTTTTTTATTGTTCCTAAAAATTATCTTATTCAAAGAGCTTGAACAATTATAAATCCCTTTCCGCTCATCTCTACATTTGTTTCTCTTAATGGGGATCCACCCCTTCTGGGAATTACAATCTTGTCGATGTTTTATTTTTCTCTGCACTTTTATCTTTACTGTTCTTTAACTTTCTGATAACATCCCAAAAGAAAAGAGATACATACCCTTCCGCTGGCACCGCCTCTGCTAAAGGCTACAGCCATTGTCACACAGCAAAATAATAAAATCAACGATATTCTCATTTCAAAGTAATTGCACTCCACTTGTGTAGGTAAATAGATATTCCCGAAAATTACGTTTCGTTCAAAATCGCACAATATTAATTTCAAGACGTCGCCGTCTGTCTTAAAAGGGTGTAATTAAAATGACGGATGACTAGTGACTCGAGTATTCTTTTATATACTCCGGCCCGGTTAATGAAGATGTTGCTTCGGCTATTTATGGAAGCTATGATCGGATTGCTGTTGTATTATTTCATTGCGTGCGGTAAAGTACCGCTTGTTTTTGTGTGTACTATTTGCGGTGAATGAAACAGCAGCGCGAAGAAAATAAATCCCATATTGATTAAATAGCAGGGCTGAGCTATTGTCCTAGAACAAGGGGCGATGAAAATAAAAATCCCATATTGATGGGAATTTTTATTTCGCTTTCTTTGAGCGTTTCGTTTTTCAAAATCTTGAACCCTATATGGGGGAGGTGCCACAAGAAATGGTCCGATCTGTAACATCTTTATAACAGATCTTGTGTTGATGGAAATATTGGGACACACCAAATCTGAATGGAATCGGATTTAAATTTTGCTTATTATGAGCTTCAGGGATACTAAAAATTTTGACCCTTTGTGGGGAAGGTACCAGAAGAAGTGAACCGTTATATTTCATCTTTTCACCAAACATTGCGTTAATAAAAATATTGTAATGTCTGTAATTTAAAGAAAACCAGATGCTTATTTCGATATTAATGATCGTTTTGGTGATTCACAACTTTGACCCTTTGTGGGGGAGGTACCAGAACCATCTTTATAACAGATCTTGTGTTGATATAAATATTGAGATGTTCCAAAACTGAATGGAACCGGATGTTAATTTCGTGTTTTATGAGGTTCATGAATATTCAAAATTTTAACCCTTTGTGGGGGAGGTACTAGAAGGAGTGGACAGATATATTCCATCTTCACACCATACCTTGGGTTAATATAAATATTGGGATGTGTAAAATTTGAAGACCATCGGGCTCTTACATAACATTTTATGAGAGTTGTAATTATTCAAAATTTTGACCCATTGTGGGGGAAGTACTTGATAGAGTGGACCGATATTGTTCATTTCCGCACCAGACCTAGCACTAACGCAAATATTAGGATTTGCCAAGTCGGAGCAAAATCGGCTTATCGTTTCTCTTTCTGTGCAGAAAAATATTTTTTTTTTTTAATTTCGACCACTTGTAGGGGAGGTAGCAGAAAAAGTCGACCGATATATTCCATCTTAACACCAGATCTTGGGTTAATATAAATATTGGGATGTGTGAAATTTGAAGACAATCGGACTCTTAAATAACATTTTATGAGAGTTAGAATTATTTAAAATTTTGACCCTTTGTGGGGGAGGTACTTGATGGAGTGGAACGATATTGTCCATTTTCGCACCTGACCTAGCACTGATGCAAATATTAGGTTTCACAAAGTTGGAGCAAAATCGGATTATCCTTTCTCTTTCTGTGCAGTAAATTATTTTCTTTGAAAATGTCGACATTTTGTGTGGGAGGTACCAGAAGGAGTGAACCGATATTGTCCGCCTCTGAACTCGATCTATGTTTGACAATAACATTATGATGTACCAAGTTTGGATCAAATCCCTTCACCAGCCAACCAGAGAGACAAACCGTTATTTCGATGAAATCTACCTTCTTACCCACCCATATGGCTGAGGGTATAAAAAATATGCCGGATCGAGTTTCACCAAATTGAAAAATTCGCTTAAATGTGAAAAATCGAAGTTATATAAAAATCTGAACAGAAATCTCTATAAAGATATTTTCAAGAAGTATATGGAGCCATTGTTGTCGATCACATATTATATATGTATCCCTCACATATATAATATGTGATCGACAAATCAGCACCAAATCGGATAAAACAGATATATGGGAGCTATTGCTATATCTGAACCGATTTTCACCAAATTTGAAGTACTTGTCTCTATGCTGAGTTCGGTCGGAAGTGCCATAATTCACTCCATTTGGGCTGACATTAGTCATTTGGAGCACCGTAAACCTGATATCGGATAAAAATATATGTATATGGGATTTCTATCCAAATCTGAACCGAACTTGACAAAATTTTAAACACTTATTTCTGAGCTGTATCTGATATCTTGTACCAAGGATTATTGTTGTGGAGGGCATATTATGCATGTAAGGGACTCAACCCCCCAAATCGGATGAAACATATATATGGGAGCTATAGCTATATTTGAACCGATTTTCACCAAATTTGAGGTACCTGTTTCTAGACTGAATTCGGTCGGATATGCCAAAATTCAGCTCATTTGGACTTATATTGGCCATTAGGTGCACAATTAACCCGAAATCGGTTGAAGATATATACGGGGGCTATATCTAAATTTGAACCAATTCTCATCAATTTCAATAGGGGTCATCCTTGGGCCAAACAAATCTTGTGTGGAAAATTTCATCACAATCGGACAATAAATGCGATCTGTATTTTGTTCACAATAATAAATGGACAGACGGACGGACGGACGGACGGACTGACTGACATGCATCAATCGACTCAGAAAGTGATTCTATGAGGATCCTCAAAAGTAACTATGTTTCTTTTTTCTTCTTGTTTCACTCTGTGGTGTAGCGTATACAAATCATGGGGCCTCCGACTTAAAACTCTTTCATTTCGGATCGTATGACTTAGTCAACATCATTAATTTATATTTTATTTTTGTCTCAAAAACTGCTGATCTACCCATCAATGAGGTCAAGATCTATGGATAACAATCTTATAAATATATCACAAGTTGATTCACTGCTTTAATCAGGCAGACTTTGTTACCGTCTTCCTTCTAAATTTCACCCAGTCTATGAATCGTATATTTATAATCGCCCCAATTACGGTTGTCGTTACTATAGTCGTCGTCGACTTTATGTGCGAGTCGCCCTCGCCGTCGCTTCGATTCAAAAATAGTATTATGGTAAGGCATAGAAGCGACATCGACAGTTTAAAATAAAAGTTGGCAACATTTTAAAAAAACGTTGGCAACACTCCCTTGTTATTGACGAAAAAAGATAATTTTTTTTTTGGTATTTTGAATTCTAATTTCGACTCTTTCGGAAAAATAAAAAATATAGTGAAAAAATGAAGATTATAAATGCGTTACATATCTTAAGTTCAAGTGAGGATGAAGAGAAGAATGTATTAGAAGTGCAGCGGCGAGTGTTAAGGCAGCCAACAAACATATTTTCTCTTGATTGGCTCTTGATTGTGTTGTTCCAAAAGTTTACGCCGCTCTTTCAAGAGTTCAATAGTTTCTACTTTCCTTTATGACTTTTTACCATTGTTTTTTCTGGGCGATCGAGAAGCTTCAATAGTAGGTTACATCAGTCTCGTCATCAGCATTGTCCACCTGCTCATTTCATGAATAGACGTTAGTCTATTACACTTATGTTTTCCTTATTTTCTATTCCAAGTGCACGACCTGGTGGATTCAATAACTTTGGAAACTGCATTATATTCGCGACAGACTCCTCCAAAGGCGACAAAGACATTTGCTTAAAAATGCCACCTCCATTGCTGCTGGCTTCACCCTTGTTGTGCACAAGTTTCTTTTTAGTTTTAAATGTTAAATCTTTCCAAATTTAGAAGAATTTTGGAAAACTATCTAATAAAAACATACAAAAATAATTTTAATTTTTACATACTTTTTGCCAGCCATCGGAGTCTCTAATCGGAGGCCCGTTTACATTTAATTTTGTAGCAATGGATTCCCAATCTGAATTAAAATTTGCTGGAACATGACCTTTTGACAAACATGGATTTTTATCCAATTCGGAAACCAAAATTTCAAATTGTTTTGCTATTGTTATTTTCATGGTCAAATATCAAATACAAAATGCTCACAATATCAACGTCGACTAAAAAGTACTAGTCGTCACAATTTTTTACGGCGACAGATATTCTCAAAAATCGACATCACTTCGACTGTTGTATCGACAATGATAATGGCAACCATTTGTCGCTATCGACAAAAAACGACAACCCTAATATCATTATTGTCGCCTCGACTTCATTTTGCGACGCCGACGATAACCGTAATAGGGCCGAATATATTGACTGGGTTAGGCAGTAAGCGGTCCACACTTATTGTATAGTAGCTAAAAAGAACTCAATCCTAATCTTTGTCAGTAATTTCAGCGGAGGAGACACACTCCGGGAGGGCCCTTATCTTTACTTCCCTCTATCTGCCGTATGAGTAACCCGACCCGCCAGGCCAAGAAACAGAGAAGTTGCTCATGGAGCTGGATAACAAAGATCATCTGATCATTGAACGCGATGCTAACGTTTAAAATTTTCTATGGGGTACTAAGGATATTAACGTCAGATTGGAACAAATCGAAAATCATTTTCTATACCCCACTGTGTGGCGCATTTGTTTGTAACATGGAGAATGAAGCGACATAAACCCACAATTACTTTTGAGGATATTCATAGAAACACTTTCACTTTAGATATGGCTATAGCTCCCATATATATGTTTTATCCGACATGTAGTTTAAAGTCCTTCAAAAGCGCAATATGCATTCCACAACAATCATATTTGATACCAGATATCGGATACAGCTCTGAAATAAGTGTATCAAATTTTGTCAAGATCGAATCAGATTTGGATATAGCTCCCATATTTCGATTTCGGGTTAATTCTGCACCAAGTGGTCAATATCAGTCCAAATGACCTTAATTTTGGTACATCAGACCGAATTCAGTCTAGAAGCAAGTACATCAAATTTGGAGAAAATCGGTTCAGATATAGCCTTAACTCCCATATATATGTTTCATCCGATTTGGTGTTTAGTTCCCTCACACTAGTAATATACATTCGACAACAATGATATTTGGTAGCAGGTATCTTATAAAGCTCAGAAATACCTTCGCCAAATTTTATCGAGAACGGCTAAGATTTGGATATGGCTCCCATATACATCCTTAATCCGATTTCAGGTTTATTGTGCAAATAATGGCTAATATCAGCCCAAATGGAGCAAATTTCATGACGTAGGTTTCCATTTTGTGTCACTCCGCTCTGATATATATGTTTTAATATAAACCTTCTCGAAGTGCTATCATGCACTCTAT